ATTTAAATAAAAGTCAGAGTCTCATAACTTAATACCTAAAATATCCAGGATTCAATAAAAATTCACTCATTATACCAACGACCTAGAAAATTTCAACTTGAATGAGAAAAAAACAGTCAACAGATGCCAACATCAAGATGACATTAATGTTGGAATTCTCTGACAAGGATTTTAAAGCAGCTGTCATTAAAACTGGAATAAAGCCCTGACAATATGCTTCCGAAAAATCAGCCATTGAAAACCTTGTGGAGCACAGTTCTACTCCGACACACAGAGGGGCACCATTAATCATGGTTGACTCAATTGTGTTTTTTTATAATTAAAATACTTCAATAAGCAATTACAAACAAATGGAAAAAAAAAATAGTCTCAGCAAAGAAATAGCAGCCATAAATAAAAGAAATGGAAATTTTAGGTGTGAAAAAATACAATAATAGAAATGAAAAACTCAGTGGATGGGCTCAAGTGCAGAATAAAGGGGAGAGATGAAATAATCAGTCGACTCGAAGATAAAACAATAGAAATTACCCAGTTTGAACAAGAGGAGAAAAAAATAGACTGGGGGAAAAACAGTGAGCTGAGCCTCAAGGACTATAACAAAAGACTACCATTCATGTCATCAGCATCTCAGATGGTGAGAAGAAAGCATATAGGACAGAAAAAGTATTCAAGGAGATAATGGCTGAAAAATTCCCAATTTTGGTAAATGACAAATTTGAGATTCAAGAAGCTGAGCAAACTCCAAACTCAGAGAGATCTACTCAAAGACACATCATAATCAATCTTCTGAAAAGGTACAGTGGAACAACAATTTGAATAACAACCGATTTCTCATCAGAAGCCACAGAGGCCAGGAGGAAATGACACAACATTTTTCAAGTACTGAAAAAACAGAACTGTCAACCCTAAATTCTGTATCTGACAAAAATACCTTTTAGGAATGATGGGAAATCATGACATTTTCAGATGAAGAAAAACTAATAGAATTTATCACCAGCTGACCTACTCTAAAAGAATGGCTAAAGGGAGTTCTTGAAACAGAAAGGAAATGATAAAAGAAGGAATCTTGGTCAGGAAGGAAGAACAATGGAATGTGTAACAATATGAGTAAACACAATAAGCTTTCCTTCTCCTCTTGAATTTCGTAACTTATGTTTGACAGTTGAAGCAAAAATTGGTAGCATGGCCTAATGTGCTCTCAATGAATGTAGAGGAAATATTAAAAACCAATTATAAATGGGAGTGGGTAAAGGGACTTTAGGAATCCCTGAGTGGCACAAATAGCTACTGGCCAAAGGCTGGTGATTCGAACCCACCTAGAGGCAACTTGGAAGACAAAGTCTGGCGAGCACATTCTTGAAAACCCAGTTCTACTCTGCACACATTGAGTTGCCATGAGTCCGAATCGACTTGACAGTAACTAACCACAACAACCACCAAAGGACTTTACAGGAGGTAGTTTCTATTCCACCACTTGTCTGTCAGTTTGTCATACTGTGGTGGCTTACATGTTGCTGTGATGCTGGAAGCTATGCCTTCAGTATTTCAAATGCCACGGGGTCACTCGCGGTGGACAGACTTCAGCAAAACTTCCAGACTAAGACAGACTGGGAAGAAGGACCTGGCAATCTACTTCTGAAAAAATTGGCCAGCGAAAACCTTATGAATAGCACCAGATCATTCTCTAATATAGTGCCAGAAGATGAGCCACTGAACAATGGGCTCAAACATAGCAACCATTGTGAGGATGGTGCTAGACCGGGCAGTGTTTCATTCTGTTGTAGGTAGGGTTGCTATGAGTCGGAACCGACTTGATGGCACCTAACAACAACAAAGTTTCTATTTGGTGGCTGGAAGGGAAAGGGGGCCGAGACTGTAACAGAGGAAAAACGGCCAGTGGAGAAGAGTACATATGCCAGAAATAGAAGATAATGGAGCACAGGCTGAGATAAGGATGGAGGTGTTGGCCCTGGGAAGAAAAAAGCTTTTGTCACTGAGAAGGGAAGAATCTGGCTGAAAATCCACATTATGAGAGAAGGCCAGGGAAGTTGAAGGAGTTCCATCTGAGGGTAACTCTCTTCTGAGAGAGAAGATTCGCTGGGTTGAGGGCGAAGATGAAGGATTGCGATGCCAAGAGAGGATATGAGCACCAGAAAAACAGATGTTCTGGAATTGTCAGTTGCTAATGCTGAAGTTCTCAGCCTCCTTACTCAAAAACTGTAAAATAATTAATCGACCGCCAGACGGCGGTGTCTGTGGAGGCTTACCTATCCTATCGGCCCTAGCGCCCAGGGCGGAAGAAGGCGTGGAGGTGGCTCTCTGGCTCGCGTCGCCTCTACTCTCCTATCACCACTGACGTTGGACAACAAAAATGGCGGCAGGAACCAGCAATTACTGGGAAGGTGAGAGTGAGGCCTCCGGGAGGGTCCTGCCGAGGGGCTGAGGGCTTGAGTGAGGACAGGTCGTGGGGGAGGCGGCAGAGGAGAGAGCTGGCCTCCGGAGCGGCCGAGCTGAGGGGCGGGGATTGTCTGGTGGGAGCCCAGGGGCCTGGGAGCTGAGGAGACTGAACGTTCCAGGGTAGGGGGCTGGCCTGAGAGGCAGTGGCTCCTGACCCAGTCGGGTGAGCGGCACCTGAGGGAGGGTTTGGGCAGAAAAGGCAGAAAGGGGATGAACAGGAAGAGGAGCCTGAGTCGCTGAAAGAGAACTGGGTTGAGGGAACAGCGAAACTCGGACGTACGGGCTTGGGGTCCGAACCGGGAGAGGAAACGAGTGTTTAGCGAGCAGGTCCCGAGCCAGTGAGACTGGAGTAGTCTATGCCTTGGAGATTAAGTCACTGTTGGAAAACTGAGTAGGAAAAGGGAGAGGAACGAGGAACGGAAATTTGTCAGTCCAGTCCATCGGGGGAAGTTGTATGGGCGAAATGTTTCCTTCTGGGTCGCCTTGGCCGCTTCAGGCTGGGACTTCGAGGATTGGATGTCGAGTCGTGTTTGAAAGCAGAGGAAATAACTTTACCGTCTGCCCTGGAGTCTAGGATCGGATTTCTTAAAAAGAGAAAGTTGAGAGAACCAGTGTTAACTTGACAAGTGCGTTTGTTTAATTCCTGACAATACGGTCCCATAAAGTGGGCTCATGTAAAACTCGTTTCTGGGCCATAATGATCAACAAAGATCAGAATAATCTCCCCTTTTTCTTCAGCTGTCTCTTTGCTGTACTGCAACATTAAAATTACTCTTCGAATCACTTTCCCATTTTGAGCTATTTCCTGTTGCTCCCCAGTGAAGCCTCGGGAAGACACCACGTGTGTGTGTGTGGGTGTGGGTGGGTGTCGGTGAATGTACATAAATATATAAAAACTCAACTGTGCTTTAAAAAAACAAAAAACTGTCAGTCGCTTGGCCTAAGAAATACAATTCTCAGTTCTTCCATACTTGCCTGTCATTGTTTCACATGATGCTTTCCATTAGTGAAGACAATTACTAAAGTTACAGGAACGCATGCTTATGATTAGTTTAAAACATGTATTGAAATGCCCTTTTGAAACGTATTAGCTAGAAAACATTTTGAAGTTACATAAAAGTGTCTACTGGTATCTTTAATGCTAGTCATTAGGTTATGGTTTTTCGAAGCACGGTACTTTAATAACTATAGTTGCTCATTATTGACAGCCTACTCAGTGCCAGGTGCTCTAAGCACATGATTACTAATGCGTAGAAAACCCCTAAAGCTGTGGGTTTAACAGACAAAAAGCTGAGGTTCAGAGGTTGAATAGATGGCCGATGAATCTCAGCCAGTATATGGCTGTGCTGAGATTCAAACTGGGATTTGGTCTGCGGGCAGATATGGTCCACTGTGTTATTCTGCTTTCTGCTTCTGATGATAAGTTTATTGAAATGATGTTTTGTATTCCTTATTCCTGGAAGGTGAGATCCTTACACCATTCCTTCCTATATTCAGTGCTTTTTATTTTAACCAACGTTTCACCATGGATGAGAGTAATTGGCATGTAGGTGTGGGTTTCTAGACTGTGGCTTCTCTCACTCAACCACCTAGAAGTCAAACTACGATACCAATTTCTCTGCTTGCTTGTTTGCTTCCTTTCTTAAAAACATATGCTCTTATTTCCATTATATTTGTATTTGATCTTATCAGGAGCACATTGTTTGTTGTTGGTTTCAGCCTCTCCAAATTTCTTTCAGTAAGCATATTGAAAGGCATTTTTTTTATCTTTGCCGTAGATCATTTATTTTTTCTTTATGTTCAGTCAGTAAGTCATTCTACCATTAAGAAAAGAATTTCATTAGCCTAATAAATCTTTGGAATAGAAATAGCAAAATTCATGTCAAAACAGTGATGTTTTCTTTTTTATAAATTTAGCTGATAAATCGGTATAATGCTGGCTAGACTATAAACCATATTCAGTTCCTTTGTGATTTGTACTTGTTTCCTCTGAATTACAAAATTGTAGTTATTGCTGTAGAAATAATTTTAGGCATGTTAGAGCAACATCTTGTTACTGTATAGCTGTCTGTAGAATAAAGCTGAAAATTTCTGTCTCCCACTGCTCCTCCTACTCTTTCCCTGCCCCTCATCTAAAGTTTAAATAAATGACTGATTTGCTTTCGGGTAAGTATTTGGTTTCTTCCTTTTAACACTTTTCTTTAAGGGGGAACTAGACCAATAATTGATCATTTTCTTAGTTTGTTTTCTTCAGAATAGTTTTGTGATTTACATGTTTACTGATGGACTTTTTGTGTCTAATTATTTGCTTTTTACTTTTGCTGAAGATCTCAGGAAACAGGCTCGACAGTTGGAAAATGAACTTGACCTGAAACTAGTTTCCTTTAGTAAACTGTGTACAAGTTACAGTCACAGCAGTGCCCGAGATGGAAGACGCGACAGGTATAGGTACTACCAGATTCTGTCTCTTATGCCTTAAACTATATACCGTAAGTTTTTTTAAAGCATTAAAAAATAAGGTAGAATATATAACTTTGTAAGTTGGTCGCTATGAGTCGGAATCAACTCGACGGCAGTGGGTTTGGTTTTTGGGTAACTTGATCTATTTGGTGAATTTTTGTTGTTTCTTTTTTTATCATTGATTTTTTTAGTGACTTATTAAAATTCTCCTTAATTCTTGAGATTAGCATTTATTTAGGATCCTAAGGCAAAAATTGTGACCTTGTCAGCAGAATAATACTAGGTGTTGACGGTGAGTTTGTATCAGAAGTAAGAGTTTCTAGTTTTGTATCGGAAGTAAGAGTTTCCAGCTCAGCCAGTATAAGGAAATGTGGTAAATTTGGCCACATTATATTCCTTATATTTTCTAATTGCTAAATGGAAATGAGGAACTACTCAAATGCAAAGTATACATACTGCTATTCTGGTGTTTTAGACTGAATCTAAGGTAATGTGTGTCCTTACTGTTAGTCATCAAAGCTATTTTTAATTTTGGTTCTTTTTTTGAGAAACCAGTATACTACTATACTGAACATATGGAAAATACATTCTTATTTTTGAATCTTCCCCTGTATTGTGCTCACTTTAGGCCATCCACTCGTTTCAAAAAATATTAGGAAATATTTAAGACACTTGGAAAAGTATAAGGAACAATATAATGAACCCCCATGTAACTTTCCCCCATTTTAAAAAATAATCATTACCAATTCATTTGAAGGCCCCATGTACCCTGCCCTGATGGCGTTTTCCTTTTTCCCTCCCCAATGTTGTTGTGTGCTGTCAAGTCAATTCTGACTCACAGCAACCCTATAGGACAGAGTAGAACTGCCCCATTGGGTTTCCAAGGAGCAGCTGGTGGATTTGAACTGCTGAACTTTTGGTTAGCAGCCTGAGCTCTTAACCTGTGCAGCCAGGTCCCCAATAATGTAATAATTTTAATAGCTAACACTTACAGTGCTCATCGCGTGTCAGGTATTGTTCTAAGAGCTTTACGTAAATGCTGCTGGGAACATTTTTTCACAGAATGTTTCCATATACTTAGAAGTGGAATTGCTGGTAGAAAGTTTTTAGTTGTTACCCACTCTTTATTTTAGATACTTCTGCAAGGATTGGTGGTGGGTGGGGTATATTTTTCAGCTAATAATACTAAAAACAACTGAATTTAGATTTGAACCGATGTCTTTCTATCACCAGAGCCCATACTCTAAACCCTGCTCTGTTATGCACATTACAGCAAAAGGCCATTTTGACTCTATAGCCAAGCGTTATTCCTTTTTAATAACAGCATAATGCTTGTAAAGATATCAGGGCCAATATATTGACTCATGTGGCCTGAAAGTAAGTTATTGGCATGTAAGGGAGATTTGATTACAATGCATTACTTTGGTCTTGTTTTTACTTAGCAAGTAAAGAGAATGAAGAATTTTTTTTTTCTGTCAATAAAGTTATGATTGGAAATAATTTTTCCTTGATTTAAGTCTCCCACTTGGCTACTGTCAGTGAGTATACAATATTAGAACTCCTATTGTTAAGAGATAATATTACATGATACTTTTTCTATGTTCTCTATGCTTTATGAACTTAATACTCTTTTTTGTTTTTTTTATTGTACTTCAGGTGAAGGCTTACAGAACAAATAGTTTCTCATTTAACAGCTAGTACACATGTTGCCCTATGACAATGGTTAACAACCTCACAACACATCAACAC